ACATATTAAAAAATGATTTGTTTTTAAATACCAGAAGTTATCTTCGTATTTAATTGTTAACTTTTTAGATTTTACCTACCGCCCCGTAACTTACAGGAAACTGTAAATTTAATTTCCTCGACGACACTAGATGGAAATTCTATAAAAAAAGTTTATTTTTAGCTTTATTCTAAAACAATAAGAAATAGACCTGTTGAACCCTATATTTTTGTAATCTAAAAAAAATAACTAATTTAATAAGCGAATGGTGGTTGTTTCCATTTAAAAAAACGAAAATTCTCATGATATCTCAAATTCTAAAACCGAAAATTTTTTTTTGACTATGTCATGAAATTCTCTGTAAAAAAGTGTCCATATAATGTCGTAGTTATAATACTCCACCTATAATAATAACCAAGATAATTGCACTTATTGGTTTTACGATAATTTCAATTTTGGCCTCTAGGGGAAAAACAAAAGACGATAGCGCTATGAGGTTTTCGGCATTAGCAGTTTCTCGAAAAACGAGATCATGACATGTAAGCTACTTTTTTTCTAACTCTTATAGTTTCTGAGTTAGCCTATTCGGACATCGAATTTGAACCACCCTGTACATAATTCACAAAAAAACCCTCTTTCAAATTCCGATATAAAAAATGCGGTGTTCCATTTAAAAAACTTCATGACGATCTTCGATGACGTCATAACTCGTTTAAAAATGACGGAAAAAATTTAAAATATACACCAAAAAATTTAAATCTTTAGACCCGTTTCAGCGATTTTTTCATAAATTGTTTGTAATGATTTTATCGACTTTATTCGTTACTTTTGAAACGCACTATACAGGGTGATTCACATAAGAACCGACACAGAGCAGGGACATGTAGAGAACAATAAATTAAGATGATTTTGGCCCGCTTTTACCACCTCTAGTTAAACTGGTCGTTAGTCTAACTATCGGATAACGTTTATCTATTAGCTAACTGCGAAACGACTTTTACCATTTCGATCTAACTAATGGATAGGCTATCTAGTACTTAACGTAAAAATCTAGGGGAATATCAGATTGTTGGTGACTACGTGTAAAAGAGGTATTACAGGTTTCTATCTCCTTTGTCCGTCGGTAATGGTCGGTAATTCGTGGGTAATTCTCATAAACCTGTCAGTTCTGTTAGTGGCAATTAACGATCACGAAAAAATAAAAACCGCAAATCAGGCCGAAAAGCGTATTCGGGGGGCAAATTTTAAACCTGAAGAAATAACACTTTTACTTGACTTGGTGGCGGATCATAAAAATGTCCTCGAAAATAAAAATAGCCATGTTAGTACGTGGAAAATAACGTTTGGGTTTTGCAAACAACAAGGAAAAGTAAAAGTACAATCAAAATACTAACTAACCTACTATGTATTTATAAAAAATTGATCTGCTTTATATGGTGTAGTGTCTAATAAAGCTGTCCACGATACCTATAATGAATTATTAAAGAAAAGATTAGAGACACAACATTAATGTTAGAAAATGAGAAGGAAAGAGATGGAAGTGATAAAATTGAAAAAAGAAGTGGAGATAAAAAAATTAAGAAAAGAAAAAGACAGTTAATCTATTTTTTAAATACTTGTTGACGATATTTAAATAATAATAATGTACATATTTATTGTAAATAACGTTTTTTTTTTATTATTTTTTATAATTATAAAGTTTATTTTTATAAGTTCCGAAAATGATTGATAACTACTAATCTTCTATTATTGACCTGAAGTACATGTATAATACTTCCTCGTTCGTGGTTTGATGTCATTATCAATTTGTGCTAAAATGTGGTGAAAACACACATTCCTTTGATAATCGAAATCTTTTAATAAATTCATCAGTTTGATGGTGGTCTATTCTGTCTTTTATTACGCGTCCACCCCGAATGGGAAATAGATAATTAATTTTCTCCAAGATTTCTTGCTCATCAATTTCAAACTTTTCGAAATCCATGATTTTTTATTCTATCGCTGTATAACACTGTTATAACACGACAATAACACCGTTTTAATCACTATTATGGAGTTTTGAGCGAACGTAAGCGTTTATTATGATTTTAGGTTAGATTTATGTTACGCCATCTGGTTAAAAATACCTTGAACCAAGTTTATCAATGAGGTAAATATTTAACCCGACCCCCAAACCGATAGTTAAGGATAGACCGAAAATAACTATTAGTTAGCGCTATCAACAAGGTAAATATGGTGGTAAAAGCCGATTTTTGCGCTAACCATTAGTTAAAGTTAACAACCACTTTAACTAGGGGTGGTAAAAGTGGGCCTTAAAGTAACTTACCTCTATACTAAGTTGTACACCTGAGGAGTTATAGGCCTTCAAAGTTGGCTCTTAAATTTTTAAAAAGTTCAATATCTTCGTAATAAATTAAGCTAGAAAAACCAAATTTGGTATACATTATGAGTGTACCAAGGGTATTAATTGGTAGCAAATTGAACTCAATTGAGGCAGTTCAAAGTTGATTAAGGGTGATGGTACCCTAAATTTTGACAGATCTTTTTAACCTTTTGACGGATTTAATGCGTTACTACTTCATTTCATGTGGAATTTAATTCTAAAACTTTTCTTACTCTTATTATTTTTTAAAAAACTTTGTCGTTTCATAAAAAACTTAAATAACTAAAGAAAAAAAAAATTGTAATTTGATGTGTAAATAGTATATAATTAGCCGAAATAACAACATAATACTAATAAAAACTATTAAAACATGCACTCATATTCGTTTAATGCTCAAAGTGACATTTGCACTGCACGTGCAGTAGTTGAAACTAAATGCGTCGAATCTGTGTCAACTAAAAACGTAATTAAACGGTCCCGAAGTGGTATTGCTTCGACCACAAAAGTTTTTCTCTTGACATGTCAAAGGTAAACGGCCTTGATGTCCATTTAAGGAAAATCTAATTTGGGCTAATAATTTTGACACAAAATAAAGTTTTCGCATATTAATCCGATTAAAAAAAAATAAATACGTACGTTTTATGGCAGTAATTTAATGGAAAGATTTACTTGAATAAAATAATTACAGTAATAATATAAAATAGTAAATAATAGCATTTTGTTCGTAGAGGTTTTTTAGATTCCGTGCATACCCGTGCGCGCGGTTTACCCACGTGAATCAACCGCGCGGCCGTCGGCCACCGTTCCTTCCATTAATAATTCCGATTCCCGGTGTGACCGCATACCTATTCCGATAGAATAATACATCTGGAATCTATTGTTTCCTACTACCTACGGCGGAGGCCTGACGGAGCGCTAGAAGAAGGAGGCGTTGGAAGGGGGGGAAGTAGACGTCGGAGGGGTCGCGGGGGGCTCCCGGAGCGACCCTGCCATGCCAGGAATTTAAACGGCCTACTTGATCAGAAATCCAGCTAACAAAAAGAACGGTCCGTCCACAGGTAGGTACGGGTCCTTAGGGACACTTTGTCTGCATCCGCGCGGGCCCCGGTCTCCCACCGCGACGTGCCGCAGGTATGTTAACACGGGGCGTAAACAGAATAACAGGAGGAGCTGATTTCGCCGCGTATATGTATATCCGCAGCGTTAAACGACCATAATCGCGTAATAAATTAGAAAGGGGCAATTGACGGCGGCACCGCAGACGTTGTGTTATGACTAAGTTTGTGTATTTGAACGGCAAGAAAGTAGCGGCCCCTTGATGTATCTTCTAAGAAGTGACAATGATTACGTTTAGGGCGCTTAAAATAATCCACGGAGAAGTACATCGTAACCTGTGACGGCTGTAAACTTACTGTTAGTCTTAATTAATGCCTTTCGACTGTCGGAAGAGATAGTCTTAAGATAATCTTGACATCAAATGGTCTATTCCAACTACAAATTTTGCTACCTACTTCATAACTTATTTCAATATTGTATATAGATGTAACTCAAACATATTAAAGTTGGAGTTAATTTTGAACTATTACAACATTTCATTTCTACAACTTAGTATTATCAAATATATTTCAATTGAAGATGAATATTTTTAAAAAGAGTTTTTGACATTTGTGAGAACTGAAATCGTTGTAGTAATAAATACAGAAAAAATTGATTGTTATCTTCTTGGAGTCGCCCCACGAAATCTATCGGACGGCGTCGGTCTCCATTGGGAACTGTTGCGTGGCATCCGCCGTCCGGTGACCATCTCTTGTGAGATGCCCGTCCTCGAGCGAACAGCGGGAGTCCAACCGGTCTTTTGCTCCGAACCCCAAAGGTGTAGAGTCAGTCTCGAGCCGCGATCGGTCGATCTACGAACTCGCGCCGCTCTTTCTCGCGACGAGAGAGCAGTCCCGTATAGAATGATATAAGAACTCTTCGGAAGGAGGGTGTGTAATAAAAACAAGAGGTGCGAACTTGATTCATATTCGATTTTGAATGTTTCGATGATCCCGCCGTGTTTTGTTAATAAATGAAAAGTTTTGTTTTGCGCGATGAAAATTTAAACGCTGAAACTTTGAAACTGTGTAAAGTTCATGAAGAAATACGGTAATCCGGTGAAATAACAACAACAATAACAGACTTTAATTGTGGTGCCGTTGTCCTTTTCATTCTGGATTAACAACAACAACAAAAAATAGAGTGATGTTCGTTTTCTCGTAGTTTCTCGTTTATTTCTTGCCCGAGGTGGTTCGTTCCTCTATCTTCTGACAGAGAGCACACGGTACCAACTCTGTAACTCTGCGGCCATATTGCATACCTCGCGGAGGGAGTGCGACGGCCTCTGTGTCACAAATGAGAGAGCGAGAAGGACGCGAGCGTACCTACGGCGTTTCGACGGGTTTCTTCGGTGGAGGGCGCAGGAGGAACCTCTTGGAATGTTAGAGCTACGCTGCCTCGCGCCGCTGGTATCTAAGGAAGAGGCAGCAGAACAGGGCCCCGTGATATCTAACGCTTAGGCCATCGGGGCTAAGACGTCGACGACGACAACGAGCGCCTATAGAAAATGGTCTTGTTGGCGCTCTTCGGATTCCTGCTGGTGGCCCCTGGTTCCGGACAAGGTCCCGGTCCTGGCGACTTTGGCTATGCAATGCAATCCCGTGCCGTCGACACGCGGGTCACCCTCGAAATCACAGAAGGAAAACCAAAAGGGACTTTTGTCGGCAGGATACCTACGAAGCCAAATTTTACCTACAGGCAGGTTTTATGTTCATAATCCCCACATAATCCCAACCATATATAACCGCGTAATGAGCGTAATTCCTTAAGAGCGCGTTCGTTTGACTTTGCCCGATTTCGTTTCTTATCTACCGCCGAAATCACCTCTTAAATCGACGGGTTTTGATCCAATTACTAGATATCCAACTGTTATTATTCAATGAATTTTATACAAAATATTAAAAGATATGTTTTAAGAAAGAATGTTTTCGTAATAATATTCAATTTACCTTCCGTTTAAGGATAATGAATGCAATAACTTTTATGTTTCGTCTCGAAATAACGTTCATCTTCGTTAAACATCTCAATTACTTGTAAATTCTGGATAGACATCTTCTTTGGAAAATACCTTTTAACAATATTATATTCGTGAGCTATGTAAACTATCAATGTATGGGAGAGAAGTAATATAGTTCAAAATTAATGAAGAAGTTGCGTTTTGAGTTCCTTCGAGCGTCGAACTCGCGCCCTGAAATGAAGTCGTTAACGCTGATTTTACATTCGTCGCTTTTCCAACACTCGTCGGCTACTTCTCGCGCGCGGTATAACGTAAATATTCGCCGAGCCTTAGTGCTTCTATATGTATACCCTTCAAAGCGAACGGTTACCGGAGCCGCGCTCCATACAAATGAGTTTGTTAGCCAGGCGCTGCGAGTTATTGTTGCTCGCATTGCCGTGATTAACAGCACTTAATTAGAGGCTATTTATCGCTATTAGCGGCCTATAATTCCGTATCCAACCGGGTTTTTAATGAAACCATCCCGAAACTACCGTTAATTGTTATAAGTATCATGTGTTTAATTGAATAAAAACTCTGCGAGACTATTGTATTATTTTTGGTTAGATTTTGAGTTGTGCTGAACATGAGTTGCAATTTTTGTAAATTCCTAATTGCTTTCAAATAAATTTTCACTTAGTAAATTAATGAATAAATAATTAGTAGACATGATGAAGAAAATGTAATACATTTCACGCTATTGCGGCTACTCTTTCTTATATTACGTACAATAAAATTAATTAAAAATATGGTCTATATATCAGGGTGTACAAGCGTATTAGTAACATTCTTAAGCTACTTACTTTGTAAAAAAAAGTTGGAATGAATCAGGTTTCAACATGTTTTGGAAATTGGTTCTAAAAAATGGTGGTAGTTCAATATGAATAATTTATGTCCATACAATTTTTCTCTTTCGATTATAGTTTTTAAGTAGTGATCGTTTTTTTGTTCCAAAAAACTGAAAAATATTTTAATAGCTAGGCAGCTAGGAACTTTGATTTCGATCACAACATTTGTCGACGAATTCTTTAATATAAATGACTTTATTTTTACATTTTGGTGACTTATGCTTTATTCCAAGATAGTGGTGACATTGTTAGTCCAATATCAACAATTTTTGAGCGCAATATTTTTCACTATCAATTATAGTTTTTGAGTAGTGATAGATTCTTTAATATAATCTTTGCATTTTGGAGATTCCTGGAAAATGGTGATGATTAGGCCAGGTATTTATGACGGATTATTATTTATTAGTCCAATACGAATACTTTTTGCACACAACATTTATCTCTATGGATTACAATTTTTCAATAGTAATCGATTCTTTAATGTAAAAAATTTAAAATAAACAAACATTAAAGTTGTGGACATTGTGAATAATAATTTCTCTATCCATTAAAGTCCCTGAGGAGCAACAGATCCTTTTAATGTAAACTATCCATTCTGACATTATAGTATATACGACATTATCCATAGAAAATGGCGATAATTAGGCTGGAATTTTTAATGATTTAAGTTTTTTTGGTACAATATGAACAATTTTCTCTATTTGGGTGATATATGCTTTATTTCAAGAAAATGATGATAGCTAGACTGAAGTATTGTCCTGGGTTATGCTTTGTTAGGCCAATACGTATAATTTTCGAGCACAACATTTTTTTTATAGATTGTGGTGTTTGAGTAGTGATAGGTGTCGAATGAATTTCTGCAAGTATTGTTACGACCTCGAAATGAATTATTAGAAGGTTGTTGATTGTAAGTGTTCTGTCTATTGTTTGTATAAAATCTATATCTACGGTGATTATGTTGATTATGTTATTACAATTATAATGAAAAATTCCATTATTGGATTTGTAATTTTTGTCTTCATCTTTTGCTACGCTAATAGCCTGCTTAAGAGTAAGACAACTACCGGACTTAACAATTATTCGCAAATCATGGCTTCTGAGACCATTGCAAAAGGCATTTATAGCTATTTTATCGTTTATTGGTTTTAAAATATTTATGGCATTTCTGTCACTGTTTTCTTGTGTTATGGTAAGATTATTCATTAGATTTTCAATTTCTGTACCATATTCGTCTAACGATTTTGTATCTTTTTTTTAAAGATTTTGTAGTTTACATTTTCATTTTATTTAAACAGAAGAAATTCACATTAGATGTGCAAATACATCACCGTTTTGTTCAATACATTTTCGGTCATTCTTTATTACACGTAGCTTTTAGAACTGTAAATGTATATGTCGTTTGTAATGCTGTTCTAAAGTTCGATCAAGTTCGCGTACCTCCTTTTATAAACTTCGTCCTTGACATAACCCAAAATTAAAAATCCATTGGAGTTATGTCAGGTGTGCTTGGAGGCCAACGTATTGGACCATTGTTTGCTATCCACCTATTTTGAAAAAGCTTTTCTAGTAATACTCTCACCCCGAAACTGATGAGGAGGAGCTCCATCTTGTTGGAAATACATTCGCCTACGTGCCTCTAAATTGACATCGTCTAAATATGTTTCTAGAAATTCCGACAACACATCAACGTATCTCCTTCCTGTCAATGCGCCTGTTAGATCACACCACACATTAATACTAAATTGTATTTGAGGATTTCTGGGATGAACAATAAATAAATGTTCACGAAACCAATAGTGCATATTTTTAGAATTAAAGATTCCTCTATTTGGAAATTTGGCTTCATTGGTCCACAAAATGCATCTTAAAAAGTTCACACATATCTGCAATCTATTGACAAAAGATTTGCGTCCATGTTTGCACTGGTCGGTACTTATAGGGCACAAATGTATATTTTTTTAGAATTCTCCATATTGTACATAATTTTAAACCACTGTCTTTTGCTAAATCTCTGACTGAATTACTTTTGTACGTTTCGAAATATGCCAAAACATTGACTTCTGTTTCTTCATTTATAATAAATTGTGTGGAGTTCTGGTTTTCACAAAGACTCTTCCATTACTACGAAATCTTCTGTATAATTTAAGAAAATACCGTCTGTCTGGTTGATTACGTTCTGGATACATTTTACCATATTGTTCCAGTGCTCGGAAACTATTTTTTCTCGACACTAAATAAGTCTCTAACGTGTCGCATTTTTCTGAATGAGTCAATACCATTTTTTAATATTACTAACTTAACTAATAGGATGTTCTGAATAAATGAGGAATATTCAATTTTTTTAATTAACTTTAATCACCGTCTCGAATGGGTTAACTTACAATGGCATATCGAATGATGTTTTTGTTTTGTTTCAGCCAACTAGCCTAAAAGGAAAAAAATAGTTTCCGAGCACTAATTCAATATGATCTGATACGTTGGCTAAATAATCGTACATTTAATGTAGATTATTTTCTTAATTCTTCTGCTTAAGTAAAATAAAAAAGTAAATTCGAATCTTATTTCACAGCCATTCTTCACAGTCAACTAGGCTAAAATGAAAATAAGCTGATAATTCGGTTATTTTCAATTTTAGGCCGATATTGCTTATGACCTTTTTTGTTTTAAAAATGTTTTATATTTCATTTTGCAAAAAATATACTTCACTAATAACAAAGTTATCAATGGTACGCACTTAATTTAGAACAGGCTGTATATTAATAATTTAATTCTCAACTTCCCCATTACAGTAAACCATCCCTTTTGATATATTGCAGCTTTTCTTTCAATAAAATGGTTAAAAGATTAAAACATTGTTGTTAATTATGCCGTAATATGAACATTTTTTTGCATAATATTTTTCCCTATCGCTTGTAGTTTTTGAGTAGTGATAGCTTGTTTAACGTAAATCATACATTTTAACCTTTTGGATATTTTTGCGTTATCCAAGGCAATGGTGCCAGCTAGCCTGAAACATTGTTATGAATTATGCTTTATTAGTTCAATATAAACCATTTTCATCCACTACATTTATCTCTATTGGTTGTAGTTTTTGAGTAGTGATAGAATCCGTAATATAGGCCATCCTTTTGACACCTTGGAGATTTTCGCATTATTACTGAAAAAAGGTGAACTAGCTTGGATCTTTGATATGGATTATCCTTTTTTTGTGCACAAAAAGTTTTTTCTCTCTCGATTGAGTTTTTAAATAAACCAATCATTTTCGCATTTTAATCATTTTCGCTTTTTGATTAGAAAGTGATGATAGTTGAACTGAAACTTGTTGTAGATTATGCTCGTTTGGTTCAATCATTGTGAACACTAAAATCTCTTATCTTCAGTGTTGCTAAATACCCGGGTATTTATTTTCAAGGATATATACCCGGGGATATTTACCCAAGATGGGTATTTAGAGGTATTTATAAAATTTAATTTAAATTGAGTTGTTGGCAGTTTTGTAAGCACTTCAAGAATGCAGAGTCGATTATCGATACACCAAACTTGTTTATAACATCTACAAGAATGCTACAATGACGGTAAAATTGCATGAAAGTACTGAAGAGAGTAGAAATAGTGAAGTACTGATTGTGGATAAAACAAGGCCATACAATGTTGAACCCAAATTGTTCATCACAGTCCTGGAGAATGCATTTAAACAACTGGATTGGATCCAAAAAAGCATAAACATTGATGGCAAATACTTAAGTAATTTACGCTACGCGGACGATATAGTTCTTATTTTGGATAGCCTTGGAGAGATGAAACTGATGGTGAACGACTTAAAGGAGGTGTGTGCAAGAGTCGGGCTAAATATTAACGTAAAGAAATTAAAATTTATGACAAATCTTGTTTCCAAGTCTACCATCAACATTGGGGATAATGAGATTGAGAGGGTTGATAGCTATATGTATCTTGGCCATGAGGTTCGTGTATCGAGAGATAATCAAACAAGCGAACTGAACAGCCTACAAGAAACTTAGAGACATCTTCAAGAGCGATATTCCTATATATTTGAAAAGAAAGGCTTTCAATCAATACTTGTGTCCGCTTATGACATACGGCTCCGAAACATTAACATTAACGGTAGCCAAATGCCGCAAATGATGTGGTCAACATTGTGGCAAAGCTCGACAATTGGATTCAGACAGCACAGAATAGAATCGAATGGAACAGAATAGGGGAAGCCTATGTCCAACAATGGCTTGATGATAATAATCATAATAACTTGATCTAATCTAAATTACGACAGATTCGACTGATGATACGTCTTCTATCGTTGACAATTCCTCGTCTTCAACGTCCATTTCATCATCTTCCTCTTCATTTTTTCAGTATCTGATATATTTTTACTTGTATCATTTTTATACGTACTGTTTGGGTATTTACCCTGGGCCGGGGTAAATATCCGGATAAATACCTATTTTAGAAATACTTACCCGTCAGGTATTTACCCAGGGCTATGGATTGGAATCAAGATGGGTTTTTACAATCCCGGGATATCGGGATCAGAATTCTCTATCCCGGGTAATCCCGGGATTTCTGGACATATGTAGTAATTATAAATAAAAAGTGTTTAAGGTGTTTCTAACATTTCAGCTTATTCTAACCATAATACAAAAAATTTCAACCAAAAAAAATCAACCATCGATAGCACTATTTTCAAAGAAGTGTCGCAGAACAATCGATTTATCTATTGTTTTATCTCCTAAACGAGATCCAAATTTTGTGTTAGATTTTTATCCATACTACCGCCATTATTGAATATCAATTTCCTGGATCAATGTATTGAAGAGTGCATTCTTAGTTAACTGGACAGCTGGCTTTGTTGTCTTTGTTTAGACATTTTCAAACATATTTTGTTCTTCTATCTCATTTATCATAAATTGTAAAGCTATATCTGCTTTTCCTAGTGCAATACACCGCTAACATAAGGCTTTTACAGTCAGCTTTGCCCCGCGCTTATCATTGCTTATCTTAGTTTCTTAATTAAAAAAGAGGAAAATATGTTACGAATGTTTTCTTTTTATTTTTAAATCTTCTTCTACTTAAATGTTTGAGTGTATTTTGTTAACATCAACTTAAACCTTTCTAATCCCAGCATAACTCAACGATCGTATATAAAATAAGATTATGATGACTCATTTTACCGGTATTTTGGAAAATAATAATATCACCTCCTTTCTTCCAATTTCTTTCCTCTTCCTTTTTTTAAAATTAATTCCTTCATCGTTATCCAACGCATGAAAGTAACGTTGTTAGGCATTCGCAGATGTTCGACGGCGATATAGAACGAATGACTACGACGGTTATAGAGAAAGGCGCGGCGCCAAACGAAAGTTATTCTATTAATTAAATTTAACGAAACGGAGTCGTTCCAAGGACAAACTATCGACAGGCGGGGTTCTCTTATTAACCATGCTTGTTTCTGTTTTTGTTGCAGGTTCAACGAGCCCCCGGATGAATTCTCTTTGGATCCCCGTACCGGGGAAATTAAAACGAACGCTATTTTAGATCGAGAATCTTTGGATAACGACAGATACGATCTGGTCGTTCTATCATCGCAACCCACTTATCCAATCGAAGTGCGTATCGTCGTCGTCGATGCGAACGATAATTTTCCGGAATTTCCCGAGGACGCGATCGAAGTGTCGTTTTCTGAAAGCGCCGCAGAGGGAACTCGTTTGCTTTTAGATTCAGCGACTGATAAAGATTCCGGGACTAACGGCGTGTCGGATGATTATAGGATAATCGGAGGAAATGAAGATGATAAGTTTAAATTGGTTGTTACACCTAATCCGACCGGAGAAAATTCTTACTTACACCTGGAAACCACCGGAAAATTAGATAGGGAGGTCCGAGGAGTTTATTCTTTGAACATATCGGCTAGAGACGGCGGAGACGTTCCCAAATATGGATATCTTTTGGTTAACGTTACGATACTTGACGTTAATGATAATCCCCCTATTTTCGATCATAGCGATTACACGGTTTCTTTAAACGAAAGCGTAGTTCCCGGAACCACAGTATTACAAGTAAGTTATTTGATTAAAACATTTTCTAGGTTTCGAGATTTTATCGTTTTCTTATAAATCTTTCCAGGTTATGGCTACAGACAACGATCTAGGTGATAACGCGAGAATAACTTATTACCTCTCCGATTACGAACGACAATTTTCCGTCGATCCGGAAACCGGAGTTATTTCAACAACGGAAACCTTAAGTTGCCCGCAGCAAACGTGCCAACAACAATCTAGCAAACGAGGTGGATGTTCCAAGAGCTGCGTCTTTACGGTTTTCGCAAGAGATCACGGCACTCCTCGCCAAGACGGAAGAACTTACGTCACCGTGAACTTGGTCGACGCAAACGACCACGACCCAGTAATCAGTTTTACTTATTTCCCACCAACGGCTGGTTTTGCAACTGTCGATGAAAATGCCGGGAATGGATCGGTGGTGGCTGCAGTTTCTGTAACGGATAACGATGAGGGTTTAAATGGTGAAACAAGCGTCGGAATCGTGTCCGGAAACTATTTAAATCATTTTCGTCTCGATCACACTCCTAATTTTGACATAGTGCGCGTTAACGGAGTGTTGGATCGCGAAGAAATTTCCAAGTACAATTTAACAATTGTGGCTAGTGATAAGGGAAATCCCCCGCGAACGGCGACGTCTTTCTTAATCATTCACGTAAATGATGTGAACGACCACGAACCGGTGTTTGAAAAGAGTGAATATTCAGCCGTTTTAAGTGAATTGGCACCTTCCGGAACTTATGTGGCGGGTATTAAAGCGACCGATGAAGATACGGGAGTGAATGCGCAAATTTTTTATGCTTTCGTGAGTGGAAATGAAGAAAGGTGGTTCGATATCAACCCCCAATCTGGTTTAGTAACAACCGTTGACGAATTGGACAGAGAAATTCAAGGTAAAACAAAAAAATAATTAAGTAGATTTCATAGTGATTCTGAAATTAAACATTATAACTTCCTCTTCAATTTCCTTCATGTACACTAAAGAATAATACCTAAATTACCTTCATTATAAGCAATTACATAGATTCCAACACATTGACGATGTAATAAACATTTAAGTTATTAAATCGTACTTATTTTGCACAACATGTAATGTTTTACTCTTAATACAAATGTTAGATGTGGGAATAGATGAAAACATGAAGTTTGTACGCCGGATCCGTGTATTTATACATATACATTTAGCAGAATAGAAATTAGAATATTTTGATTTGAAGAAATATGACATAGTATACTGGGAGAATTTAATAATATTTTGAAAATGTTCGAAAATGAGTCGTAAACTCAGGAAAATTGGTCTATGTCCGGAATGTTTCAATCGCTTTAGGTATCCGCGTTTAACGACAAATACGATAACGGAAATGGTCGTTTAAGGAATTTGTCTAGTCATAGGAGCCTATGTCGGTCGTTGAACGGGATATACTCTTACTCATATGTTCAGTTATACTCAATTTTTTAAACATTTTTATGGACATTCGATAATAAGAAAAATATTAGCAAAATGTTCATAAATAAAGATATGATGAAAAGAAACAAACATAAGAAATCTTTTATTAGGAACTTAATAGATATATATAGTTTGGTATAACTCTTCCCGTGCTTCATAAGGGGTATAACCAGAAATGGTTATTGTAAAAGAATTCGACAAATTATTATTATGCATTTCATATTTTGGTAAAAACCAGGTTTCCAAATTGATTCGTTGGTATCTCTGTTACTACGCTTTCAACACTTGCACATGCTTTGGATTGAAGATATACGTATAATTAAACTAATAACAGGTCATGAAAATATCATGTTCCTTAAGTTGCTCAAATTATAACAAAACGAGTCAGGATGTTTGATCCGTTTTGACATTTTACAGATTATTGCTTCATTCCTAAAATATGCTGATAACTTACTTTGAATTTTATTATGCATTACGATTTGTTACTTCAATGTGAAGAATTTGCGTACAACATTTTTCTCTATTAATTTTATTATTGCCTTTGAGTGATAACAGATTATTTAATATAAACCAGCCATTTTGACATTATTCCTGTAAATGGTAATAGTTAGGCTGAAACACTGTTGTGAATTATGCTTTATTAGTCCAATATGACCCCTTTTTTGCATAATATATTTCTCTACCGATTGTGCACTTTGAGTGATTTTTTAATGTAACCCATCCATTTTGATATTTTGTAGATTGTCATTCTAATCTAAGAAAATGGTGATACTTATGCGAGTACCTTATTGTGGATTCTGATTTTCTAGTTCAATATGAACAGTTTTCGAGCACAACACATTTCTATATTGATTGCAGTTATTTATGTACAAACTGATTTTCGTTTTATTGCTAGAAAATGGTGAATGCTAGATTTCATTTTTGACCTGTCGAATATACTCTAATGTAAATAATCCATTTTGACATTATGTTGATTTTGACTCTATTGTTCGAATAGCTTGCTTGTTGACGACTAGACTGGATCTGGTTATGGTTGTGCTTGTTTTGTGCAATATGATTTGCGTACACAATGTTTTTCTTAGGAAATCATTTGCCTTTATTATTGTCTCTACACTTGGTTTTCCTCGTTTGCCCATTTGAAACATTTTAAAGTACTTCGCTTTTGGCGTGCATCATTCCATGAAAATAATTTATCAATTCATGATTGCTTCATTAATAAAGTGGAATACAATTTGGTGATATTTGCGACTATTATTACTCTAATTACTCAGTAGGTCAGATTGCGTTGATCTGCTTTATTTACACAACCCGTATTTGAATTAAAGCTCTTTACTGTTTATAATTAATATTTGATGATTTTCTTAACTCCTGACTATACGGTAGGATTAGTGGATGCGGTGATCAGACCAAAAAAAGTAACTAAATTATTATTTGCAATATTTCGAAACTTTATTGTTTCTTCTACAGTCAATTACTAGAAAAAACCACCGAAGTTACTAACATGAAAAAACAACTTAACATCATAGTTAAATGAAATCGGGGCAGTTGAAATACATCAAAACAATTCTTGGCTACTCATTAAGACCAAAAAAGCCAAAGTCAATTGAACAAAATTCCAGTTCCAACCGGAGTGCTGTTAGTGTTAATCCTAGTATTTTTGATGCTGTTTCGGTGCATCCTAAAATATAGTAAAATTATGAAAATTACTGATCTTTCAAACAAATTGATTAATATATTGAAAGTATACTTGCCTGAAGATAGAAGACTTGTTGAATATTATCCGTTAAAAATTAAGAACTTTTTTTCTAAAGTAAAGGATTCCGATCCTTTACTTTACAAATCGAACGTCATCTATCAAATTGATTGTAAGGATTGTACCGGTTGTTATATTGGTGTTACTGGTCAATGGCTGAAGAGACGTATTAGCTCACATAAAAGCGATTTTAACACTAAAAAAACTCAATGTGCTTTAGCTAATCATATGGCCACTTGTAATCATAATTTTGACTTTGAAAACCATGCCATTCTTGACAGTGATGCGAGTTACTATAACAGATTATTTTTGGAGATGTGTCAAATCAATTTAAGTGAAAATACGGTTAATTTTAAGACGGATACCAGTAATTTAAGTAACATTTACTCTTTTTTATTTCACGGAGATGGAACCAGAAAGGAGATTAATGTAAACCCTACAGATGATGATTTATTAACGTTTTAATTCATAGTTTGACTTTCATTTTTAATTTGTTGTTTTTTTTTTTAAGAATTTTTCTTTTTTTTGTTTGTTAAAGTTGAAATTTAAAATTTAGCGGTTTTCTGTTTTATTTTTGTTCATGCGCGTAAACGTCTAGGATTGGTGGATGATGCGCAGAAGCAAAGTTGTTTAAACCGGTTCAAAAAAATTGTTTTTCGACGCATTTATCGTTTCATACACGTTTTAAGTTCTTAACTCTTCATCCATCTTGTAACGTTCAATTGACTTTGGCTTTTCTGCCCCGACTTCATTTAACTATGATGTAAGTAAATTTAAAAGTTGTTTTTTCATGTTAGTAACTTCGGTGGTTTTTTCAAAACCTCCGCCTAGCGCTTTTCTTAACTCCATCATTTTTCTTTTGATCTTGTATTCTGATGACATCAATAAGACTCCTTATGAAGTTTTAACCAGATTCGCAGATTTTATAGTCCTTTCTGATGTATTAAGCATGTATTGCTCGAGTGACGGTCCACATTTGAATCATTTTTGATCCACTTTTTTGCCAATTTATTTATACTGCCTGTTTGGGCTATGCAAAATTATTATTTATGTGTAAATTGCCCGTGAGCCAACCAAAACGAGTCCTCAGCATAATATTACTCACGAAATTATCTCGAACCTCAAGTAAGCTTGACCTGTAATCTCGATAAATTGGCATTCTTTTCACACCCATTTTTCCTAAAAAAACCTTCATTTCGTTCACATTAGTTGGCATAAAAGTTTTGCCAGATTCCAAAGTAACTTGAATTACATATATTATCGATTGGTTTCATATACAATCATCTCGAATAACTTTTATAGAAACAAACAAAAAAAATCTTTTATTGGGAGCTTAATAGATACATCAATATCCAGAAGAAGCGCGTAAATATTCCCATTACTTCTATCTTTACAAAAGTTTAGTATAAATTTTCCTTTATCTCGTGCTTAGTCGGATTCTTTCTACTCGTCTTCAATTCTCGAGTTCAGCCTTAAGAGGTGACACTAACTTAGGCTACGCATCGTGCTTCATAAGGGTTACAAGGTTTCATAATTGTTATAACAAGAAATAGTTAATGTAAAAGAATTCGACAAATTATTGTTAGTATTTTATGAAAGATCATTTGCAATGCAGTAAAAAAGTAGGTTTCCATCCATGTCAAATGCGTAAAAGTTGACCGTAAAGAGCGAAATATCTCGGTTCTTTATGTGCAAAACGTTTTTATGGTATACGATCACCGTTGTTAAATAAAACTCAGTTTAATGAATTTCAGCTTGAGTAATGTCAGGTATCTTTTTCTTTCTTCTGCTGTAATAATAGGAAAAATAACACCAGAAATTTTGTACGTATAATTTTATTGTAACAATGTTCATCCGAGGCAATTTTTTATAGAATTTGTGGTAAATAATGTCGGAGTGCCAACTAACATCGTGATGATTTTGTCTAGATATTAGCTAATGTATTCTTATGTTCTGAATGAAGTGGGTTAGAGGCCAACTGAATTTATTTTAGAATCATTTCGAGTTGTGCTATGTAGGCAGTAATATATAAAACTTGATTTACAACTTATTCTCAAGATTGCTGCATATAAATCAGTAGATAAACAACAAAGAGTGCATTTAAGTACTTTAATAGCTTACATTCTCATTTAATTGCTGACATATTATGAAGGACTCGAATGAAATTGAGTGAGGATGACTTTTCAAATTAAAACAGGTAAACATAACATTTCTTTTTAATTTTCAGGCAGTATAGAACTAAATATTTCTGCAAGAGATGGGGGACCAAATCCAAAATGGGCTTACACTCAATTAAAAGTAACCATATTAGATGAAAATGACGAAGCCCCAAAATTTTCGCAATCTCAAATTAACGTAAGCCTATCAGAAGGTGCAGCCCCACATACATTAGTGGCCATGTTAACGGCTTCGGATCGCGATCAAGGAACAAACGGGAGCGTAACATACAATCTACATCCAATTGTGCAACAAAAATACCCTGACACGTTTTCGTTAGATTCCTCAACCGGTCAATTAACAACCACATCGAAGTTAGACAGAGAAAAAATAAGTTTGTACGAAGTGGGCGTGGTGGCTAAAGATCAAGGTGTCCCTCAAAGATCTTCAACGGCAACCGTTTTATTAAGCATTTTAGACGTTAACGATAATTATCCGGAATTTTATCCGTTTGAATACTTCGGAATTATCCGTAATGATTTAACTGTAGGAGCTTCCATTTTAAAAGTAAAAGCGAACGATTTCGATGCCGGTGAAAATGGTGTTGTTACTTATAAAATTGAAAGTGGTTCCGATGGATTCTTTAACGTTGACGTACGAAGTGGGGTCATCACGTTAATTGGGGATCCATCATCGACTCATAAAACTGTATTTAAATTAAAGATATCAGCTGTTGACGGTAACGGAAGAAGAGCGGTTGAAGACGCCACCGTTGAACTCATTAAAGAAACGTATTTGGAAGAAATGATATTCGAAAATCAATCTTACGAGTTTGAAATTCCCGAAGATGATGATCAAAAACCACCGAAAATCGGGCGAAACGTTGGAAAGGTGCTGGTTAAAAATAGTAATAATAGAGGAGTTGAATATTTAATAAGTTCGGGTGATGTTAAAAGAAACTTTCAAATCGATAATAACGGGAGGATTTTAACAGCGAAAAAAATTGATCGCGAAGAATCTTCGAGTTATCTTTTGACTATTTTAGCCAAATCAGGTACTAAATATGGAACTGTTAATGTGACCGTCATAGTATGGGATTTAAACGATAATTTCCCAATTTTTATTTCTGATGATGCCGAATCGATTCCTATACTTGAAAACTCAGCAGTTGGCCAAGAAGTTTATATCTCAAGAGCGCGAGATTTTGATGCGGGGATAAATAGCAGAGTTTCTTATACATTAAGTTACAACCCCGATGATCAATTTAGAATATCAGAAACAACGGGGGTCATTTATTTAAATCGCCCAATCAGATCTGAACCCGGAACAACCTTAAGCATTGAAGTAACAGCTACAGATTCCGGTGAGCCTCATTTAGAATCGAAACATTCGATTTCGCTTAGAGTTGAGGACGTCAACGATCATACTCCAGTTTTCGATCATACATCATACGAAACTTCTTTATTAGAATCAACCCCTGTTAATGAAAGATTTTTTGTTCTCTCAGCGAGCGATGCTGATCAAAATTTAAACGGAAGAATTACTTATTCCATAACGGAAGGTAATTCGGAAGGAAAATTTGGCGTGTTTCCCGATGGTTATCTCTATGTTAGGAGTGCTTTAGATCGGGAAAATAGAGATTATTACTCTTTAACAGTTAGTGCTAGAGATTTAGGGGAACCACCTCGTTCTTCGATCGTCCCCGTTGTAATACACGTAATCGATGAAAACGATAACAAACCCGAATTTACAAATTCAAGTTTTTCATTTGATGTCCGAGAAAATGAACCAATTGATTCTTTCGTTGGAAAATTAGCGGCCAACGACGCCGATATTGGAAGAAACGCAGAGTTGGTATTTTCACTTTCAAGTCCTCAAAATGATTTTACAATAGACCCGAAAAATGGATTCATCAAAACTTCGAGAGTTTTCGATCGAGAACAGCTCGTTCAAAACACTGGTCAGAATTTTATCAGTTTCGAGGCGATCGTTCAGGACAACGGAATCCCACGCCTGAAGGATAAGGTCAAAGTTAACGTGAGGATCGTTGATACGAACGACAACCGACCAGTTTTCTTAAGGATACCTTATAAAGTGCAAATATCCGAAGGTTCACCAATAGGTTCGAATATCGTCAGATTGTACGCGACCGATTCCGATGATGGTTTAAACGGCGATGTTTTTTATTCCATCAAAAGCGGCAACGAAGAAGGTAAATTTGATATCGATGAAGCGACCGGGCAGATTTTCTTAGCGAAGAACTTAGACAGAGAAGTAACCTCAAAGTACTCTTTGACGGTAACGGCTAAAGACGCTGCCACTACGAAAGCCTTAAGTTCGTCAACCGTCGTCTCGGTTGATGTGCTGGACGAGAACGACAATTCCCCGGAGTTCACTCAGACTGACACCGAAATAACCGTCGTTGAAACAACCGCTGTTAATACTCAACTGACGCAATTCAGGTAGGAATGTGTTTTTTCTTTTTTTATTATTATCTTAGTAGTTCTTGTTTATATCAAAACGCTCGAAACCCACGTAACATTTAATCGTGTAGGTTTTAACGCAAAGAAATAAACTAACTCTTAATGATTGTAATATTTCAATAAACTCTAAATGTACTCGATTCATTTTTTCTGTTTCTCATAATAGTATTGTAATAAAATTGTGTATTAATTTTTTTTTGTCTTCACTTTCGTTTTTGTAGAGCAACCGATTCGGACTTAGGCGTGAACTCGGAGGTCACATTCTCGATAACGGCAGGGAACAGACGCGATGCATTCCACATCGACCCCACGACGGGCACGTTGTTCCTTCGCAAGTCCTTGGACTTCGAGGAGCTCAGTTTCTACGCCCTGAACGTGACGGCCTTGGACAATGGCAATCCGAGACTCTCCGCAACGATCACCTTCTCGGTATCCGTCGAAGACGCTAACGACAACCCTCCGGTGTTTCCAAACACGGCTATAGTTCGACAAATCCGCGAAGGTATCCCAGTTAGGACACCAATTGTAACGGTAACGGCCGAAGATCCAGACAGTGGAATTAATGGAAATGTTACTTATTCGATTTCAAGGCAGGAACCTTACAATTCGGTTAGACATTTTGTGATAAATACGATTACGGGGGTGATTAGTACCGCGTTACCCATCGATAGGGAAAAAATCGACACGTTTCGTTTGACGGTAGTTGCAACAGACGAAGCGTTAACGGGGAAGTTATCTGCCGAGAAGTTGGTTACGGTTATCGTTGAAGATATCAACGATAACGCGCCGGTTTTTTCTTCGATGAACGCCGCCGTGTTACCGACTGGGAGGAGGAACCACCACAGCCTCGGACAGCAACAGCGATTCACGGTAAGTCTTTATGACTCAAATAAATTTAATTATTAATAAAAGACCGGCGCGCACACAAGAACAATGACAAAATACGCCGATAAATTCGCTAATTGCCATTGCGAGAGGTGTTAAAGTTCCCTCCAGGTTTTGTTACGAGTTAAAACAACGGTCTTTAATAAAAAAATAGTGAATATTTTTTATCTTCTATAATTAATCTTATATTGCAATTTATACTTGAATGACTTTCTATATTAATATTTAAATTTTTTTTAAATATGTTACATAAATAACAACGATTTTAATCAGTGAAGTTAAAACTAATTTAATAATAAATTGATTTATGAAAGTAGAAAGTATCTTGAATCTTTTATCTAATTTATTTTTTGTTTTGTGGAAAATATTTATGTGTTTATAACAAATACGAATATCATTAGTTTATCTCTAATAACCAAGATACAATAGGTAGTTAAAACGGAAACTTGATAACCGGATGTAATTGTATCACGGTTGCTTTTTAACAAGGAAGATATTATGATTGAGCTCATTTTCAAGAATTTTTAATCTACCGGATCTGTTCAGTGCAGTTATGTCGTTCTTTTACCAATTTTCATCTAGATAAATAGCTTCAATAATAGCTCCATGATGTTCGAATTATATGGAGTAACGTAATAATATAGATTTTTTATGTTGTGTTTTGCAAATGGTAACTTTATATGGTTAACGTTTGATTTAAGTTGCATTAAAAATTTTAACAAAATCTTGTTGATTTTCACTCCATCGCTTAGTACTCCGAAATATTCTTCTAAAAGTCGATCATATTCCAAACATTAAGGTTTCTAATTCTAACATTAAATATTCTCAAGATTTAAGTGAAGTTTAATCTTTGATTAGCTTGATAATAGAAGCCAAGGTCACTTGCGGCCGAGGTGATGCAATCGAGACCGTCAAACATAAAGTGCGGTTTACCTACATACTAAATACTTTGGGTAACGGACGGTAATGGTTTATGTATCTAATACATAAAATCTTAAAAATCTAGTGAATGTAATAAGTCTCAAATAAAGCATCTCTCTTAATATTTTATGCCGGGACCGTGAAAGACTTGAATTTCTTAAATAAAATTAATCTCTTAATGAAACCGCTATTGTTACAGAAAAGCGTTCACCTTCATCTGGTGCTTTATCAGTCTTTGTTTTGTTAAAAATATACGTGGATGCACCTTAAACATGTCGAATATGGATGACGCAAAAAATCAAGTGTTATGGTAATAGCTTTTAAATCTGTAATAGAAGGGGCGCAGAAAGATGACATTTAATACATTGGCATTTACCCTGAAAGGCAGGTGGCAAAAAATAGAAAGAGAATGGGACTCTCGATTTTCGTGATCATTTTGAATTCTTTCCTGCTAATACAAAGTCTCAAGTACACTCTGATGTAAAGTGAATTAATTGAGTTGTAACAAAAACAATTCGTTGCTAAGGTTGTATATAAAGACTTGAGTTATGGTGTTTCTGTTTAAACTGATGAATCGTATAGGGGCCTGTCCACGATTATGCATACATGTCAAGCATCGCAAGCTATCATGCAAGATTGACCATGGATGGGGCTGTATGAGACGGTTTCTTTGGTATAAGAAACGGCATGAACAGCATGCAACACGAGCATGCTTGACCGTGGATAAGCCCCTTATGACACAATACACCACTCAAGAAAAACAGCAATTTTTCGTCAGCGTTTGGTGTGTGTCCCACAAACAAATCAGCTGCAATGGCCTTCTTTTAAATGTTACAACTCATCTTACTATTGACAAACATTATAGTGTCATCAGTCATCACATACAAATGTAAGGTGATTCTCGAATGAAGAAGCACTGGGTTGATTTTTAGAGCTCCACATCGAAGCGAATGTGTTTTTAATGGAAGAACAATGTTCAGGAGCTCAATTAATAATGAGTCTGTTTATTATAAAAGAATACATGCATTTGGAGGAAAAAGAAAAAAGTTTTACTGACTTAATTACCAATGAGTAGCTTCAAACCACGTCCTTGGCCAACCTGCCAATATCCTGTATATGTCGGTCTTGTAAAGAAAGTTCTAGGATTGATCTGAGGAACTCTTCATCTCTATCGTTTCTAGTTTATTTTCTGTATTTCTGTTCTACTCTCTGTTCTGTAGGCAAGTACTGGCTAAACTTGCGCCTTGTATATTTCGACATTACTCTCTTCTTCTTAAAGTGCCGTCTTCATAGACGGTTGACTTGTAGCACCTTCAGCAAATCGTTCTTTCTCCTATGCCGCTCTTAGCAATGATTCTGAATTTAGACCAGTTCAATGCCTTATGTTCTTTTTTCTTCTACCTTAGACTTTGCTTTCCATTATGAGTCTTAAGAATGCGTATCTTGTGTCTCTGTAAATGTGACCCAGGTAGCTTGTGTTTCATCTGTAGATAATTGTAAGAATATCTCTATATATTCTTCTTAGTACCGTTTCATTGGCAATATGTTTCATCCACAATATTTTAAACATTCTGCACATTACCCTCATTTAAAACGCTTACAGTCGTCGGATCGAGCATATTCCCATCAGCCAAGATTCAGTCCGATACAGAAGGACTGATTAAATATATGCTTTCATAAATCTGTATCTAATAGTTAACGAATGTCTCAGGTTTGTTAGCAATTTCTTCATTCAGAGGAATGCCTTCCTTATATTTTCTATGCGACATTGTACTTCTACTTCCAAATTCAAAATCCTTGATATTCGCTACCTGGAGAGGCACCTGCTACGGGATCTAACAACCTCAACCGGTAATCCCAAGTTTACTCTCTACTTGCATCTCTAATTTGCATCATCAAGAATTCTTAGACATCATTAATGTTTTTTTTTTTTTTATGAAATCCTCATATTATAGTAGTTCGTCTGCATAACAGATTATGTTTCTCTTGTCGTTTCTCGTTTTTCTAGCCGTATTATATTATAAGGTTCCCTTCAGGAGTTTTGTACGTAGAGGACGTGCTTTAATTTGACTCTATCAAAGGCTTTTGATAGATCGACGAAAAACAAGTACGGTTGGCAATTGAATTCTATAGAATTTTTCACGATCTGTTATCATGAAAAGCGCGTATACTGTTGCTTCCCATCAGAATCCTGATGGTTGTTTTGTGGCATTATATATTTTTGATCATGCGTCTGCGTCTCTCCATATAGTCTTGCAAAGTGTTTTTTTCATTTTCCTCTCGACTTGCTGTTTATTAGAACGTATTCAGTCAATCGCTTTTTTGATTTTAAATCATCTTCCAAGCTTTCTTCTACAAATCCGATTCAATCTACTTCGTAACATTTTCCATTGTCTTCTTTAATTTTCCTTATTTCGGCATTCACTTTCTCTTTTCTCTTGTGTTTGTGAGCTTCTATACTTCAGATACGATCCCCCTTCTCGTTTGTTAGTTCTTTAACCTCAGGTGTATACCAAGTTGTTTGGATATACGAATCCAAAGTGTAACGCACCTACAAGAACGAAAGCTTATCAACTATATTTGACAGCCATTTTTACATAATTCAAAAAAAAAAGTTTGTCGTCAATGCTCTTCAAGGTGTTAACATAAATTTTCTTGCCGTTAAGAAGATCACATGACACGAATGTATTGTAAACATGTAAGATTGTAATTATGTATAAAGAAATTACTGAAATATATGACTCAAGTCGTAAGATTCTTGTTTGTGTTAATACTTCATAATGTTGAAATCAAATGATTCTTTTCCAGTAATAACTAAGACTGTTATGAGTTTTATAACTTTTGCGCCAATGACATGTTGTGTTGAAAGAAGTTTTAGCACATTTAGGATAGCGAAGATATGGATCAGTTGTACAAGGAAATTAGTATTTGCTTTTTTCACTAAAAAAATGAACATTAATTTTCTTCTTTTTTTTCTATTCTTTTGGCAGCCGTAGTGTAATGTATAGTAGACGAGGTTACTTGTGGCCGATGCGCTGCAATCAAGACATTCAAACATAAATGCCTTTTTTCCCCCTTAATTTATATTCGTTTGCGGTGAAATGAATGTATTTCACGCCTAAAAGTTTATTGACGAGTACTTAAGTAGCAAAATGGATAAGTTATAAATAAGGAGTGTGTTACAAATGGAAATGCAAAAAGGTAGTAGATCGGTTTTTTAAATATTTCTACGGAATTTATCAGATGTGATAATGTGCAATAAATTTACAAAAGACCTACATTACGGCCTGTTATGGAAATGGCAGAGCTGCTGATAAGATTAGATAGTAACACAAGACATACTACAATTAATACATAATACAATAATATAGGTTTTCTAAACAATTGGCATTTAACATCATTTTTTTCTATTTTTTTCATCATTAGTTTCTAGTGTTAGTTCTAGTTTTAGTTCTAATGTTAGTTTAATTCACACCGGCCGTGAAAGCCTTCGTACTTATAACATCATTTTTGTCGATAGTAGATCATTGAAAATTCAACAAACATTCACCAGCTGCACCACCCACGCTAGGGCCGCTGACCCCCGGCACACTGACCATTGCATAAATCTTCATCCTTTTTCTTGAAAAGTTATTGCTGTGCGGCACGAAAATAGGTTTTATAATATACCTTCGTACGAATAAGTAGTCTTGATTGGTCCCTGAATCTAATATTCTAATAAAACAATATTTTTAATTTAACTTGTTGACTTGATTACCGAAGTAAAGACTCTTATCAATATCTCACACTTTTTAGTGTTTTCCTTTGATTAAAGGAGAGCTTCTCCCCATCGTACATGGAAGGAAAGAAATCAACACTACCCAACCGAAACCTTATTCCGTATTTTCTCTTTTATTTTGTTTGACGGAAAAGTATAATTTCAGTTACGTATATAAATGGTATTTTAATTAATGCTGATGAAATGTCTTCGAATACTCTAAAAGGCAAACTATTAAGATATCCTTGACCAATGTGTGCAACTATAGTAATATTCAAAAGCGCTGTAATATAACTAAAACTCTTGGATCCCTTGGAGTCTTGGATAATTTAATCTAGAATGTAACTTCAAAAAATATTAAGGCAAATTTTAAACCAGACAAAATTAATCTTTTGGTATATCTAGTAAGAGAACACAGAAAATAAAAATAAGGACATTTATATCAGTAAACATGGGAAGGAACGAAAGACAGTACATGGAGCTCTTGGTCACCCAAAAATTAACGAAATCGTAAAAATATTACTTTGCAAGTACCAAGAAATGTAAAGTTGGAGCCGTTGAAGAGCCTCTGCGTTGTCGTGGACGTGAAGTTTAACTTCATGTTTTTCAGCAAACCTTTTAATGTCTTTCCTAACTTTTGGAAGCCGAAGGTCTTTATGTATATTGCAATTTCACACATACCAAGGGGCATGAACTATGTTTCATAGCACTTTATTTTGGAATAATTGAATACATTTCAGAGTTGGATGTCGTAGTGCCGTATTGGTTTTAGAATCTGATTGTAGATCAGTTTGTATTTTGGGGCTAATTCTGCCCTTTTCTGGATTACACGCTTTCCACTTCAGTTTGATGCCCAGATTTAGGTACTTAGCATTGTTCTCCTTTTCTTTTTGGGTCCTTTTGCAATTAATTTGTAAACTTGATATGGTCGAATTTCAGCTCGTTTAACTTTATCCTTCATTTCTTAGTCCAGTCGAGTATTACATTTCTGGCTATTTGTAGTTTTCCAATGGATAGTTCTTTACCTTTCTCCACTGCAAGTGGTGTTGTGTCATCTGCAGACATAGCCACCGTAGTTCCCTCCATCTCTAGTATGTCAGGATATGGAAGATACAGGGTTGCCTCCGTACATTCCTTTGAGGCATCTTTTATGATCGAGAATTCATCTTCTGGTGTCCTCGTGCCAAACTTTGTCGAAGGCACGTTTTCTTTCTTTTCTTTCAAGGCACGTTCAATTATGTTGTTTATTCTATAATATTGGTTAGATTATTAGTTTCTATTATTGGCCTCAGTCTTTTCTCAGGAATAGTCTCTTGAAGAGTTTTGAGAGTATTGTTAATAGTGAAGTCGATCATGATGATCGTTTAACATTGGCCCTATTTTGGCTACATAATAACCTGTGCAACTTTCTACCATGTATATGTTTTAATGTAAGGGCTGAGAGTGACTAATATATTATGATTATGTAAAAATGATAGTGTTATTTAACGCAATCCGGGTTTCCTTTTCTTGTAATACGATCATGGATGAAAATAATGCTAGCAAACATAATAGAAATTTCAAAATATCAATTTATAATCTTTAAAAATTATCAATACAACACATTTTAGATAATAATATTTAGTTAGATCTTTTAAAAACTATGTTTTCTTAAACTCTATCTTCTTCTTCTCCTGATCCACCTCTTCCACTCAATCTGGTTCCTGGCTAATTCCTTTATATCTGCTAGAGACACTTCTTCTTAGGTCTTACCCTCTTTTTCTTATCCTTATTTTTTACTTCAAATACCTTTTTACTATTTCCTCATTATTTTCCGTAAAAATTTCAAACGCATTGCTGTGATCTTTCCTTCTTGTTTATCTTGTAGTGTGCATGATTCCCTGGCATATGTTAATATTGGAACTGCCACCGAGTTGTACACTTTCAATTTTATCTTTTTATCTATCTCCTTCTTCCCAAAAATTGGTCTGTTTAGAGTATGATATACGTTGTTTGTTTTCTTTATTCTTATTCATTTATGTCTATATCTATCCTTCCATCTTGTGACATTATACTGCCCAACTACTCATATGATGTTACTTCATCTTTTGTTCTTTGATACATATTTCTTTCGAGTTATTTCTTATTTACATTTTATTTATTATCACGAGTTTACATTTATTTCAATTCTAGGCTCATCTTTTCAATTTCTTCTGTCCATATTTCAACTAACTTCCTTGCCTTTTTATGGTCGTCCGCATGTAGTAAATTATCTATTTTTACTGGTTCCAAACTTTTATAACCTATTACTGTTTGATATTTATTTGTTCTTGTACTTGTATTTTTTATTACTCTGTCTATTAATGTTATAAATAACAAGGGGCTTAGACGATCGCCTTGTTTTATTCCCTTGCTCATTTCAAAAGTTTTTGATGTTGCTCCCTTCATTTGTACTATGCCCTTGACTTTCTTGTACTGGTTTTCAATTATTTTTGTTAGTTTTTGTGGTACCATTAGTTGTTCTAGACAGTTTCATATAATACTACGGTTAACCGTGTCAAAAGCTGCTTTTAGGTCCAAGAATATTAGGTACAGTTCATTGCCCGTCTCTATTTTCCTTTCAACGTTCGTTTGTTTGCTTGCTCTGTGTGCTGTTTGTTCATTTTCTAGTTTATTTTCCACTAGTCTTCTTAACCTTTTTTCTGTTATCTTTGTGTATAATTTGTAACTTGTAGATGATAGGCATATGGCTATGTGATTTTTACACTTCGAGTAGCTTCCTTTTTTATGTATTGGTAGGATGATATTATCTTTCCAATCTTTCGGGATTGTTTCCGACTCCCATGCGGTTTTATATATTCTTCTCTTTTATTCGCCACATTTCCTCCAGTGTTAAATTCTCTGTTTGTTTTAGTTTTTGAAATTCGTTGTTTGTTTTTTCTTGGTATTTTAATCTTTCTTTCTCCTGCCTTAGTTTATGGATGTTTATTTTCGTGTCACTTTTTCGTTTTCATCTCTTCTCTTTCGATTTCTATATTGTTAATAGTTGCCATGACTCTCGTCTGTGATTGGTTCCCAAGCAAGTTGATGTAATCAATAATACTTTTAGCATTCCTTTCATCCGCCACAAACGTATAGTTATCTTGCCTCCTCTGACTTCATATAGTGTTTCCAATCAATAAGTCTTTTATTTGACAAAATTCCACCATTCTTTACCCATTTCTATTCATCACTGTCTCTCCCTGATGCCCATATTCTCCTATACTACCTCTCTCCTTGTGTATATCATTACCTATTCTCCAATTATAATTACTTCCTCTCCTTGTTCTCTGGATTAATCGAAGATTTCTGCAGACTTGAATAAACATTTCGTATTTCTTCTTTTACTTTTCCTTCCGTTGGTGCGTAGATTTGAATTATTATAGTCACCTTTCCGTTTAGGTCAATTCCCAATTCCAGAATTCTTGACTTTACTGGTGCATACTTATTTACTCTTTTAATTAGTTCCTCTGTTATAATTATTCCTACTCCCTCCTTGCTCCATGTATTTTCTTGGACTCCTTAAAAGTATAGGCTATATTGTTTGATAATTGTATGCTTCCCCTTCCCTTCTTTTTCGCTTCACTAATTCCAATTATTTCTATCCCAAACCTCTCCATCTCCTCCATTATTTACCTTTCCTTTCCGTTATAGTTGTAATATTATATCTTGAAATATATAAATTTATTATTTTAATTTTTTTAGGGTGACATTCCAATAATGACCATACTAGCAACTGATGCGGATTCAAGTACAAACGGTCTCGTCACTTACGAATTGATTACCGGAAATGCCGATTTATTCCATTTGGACCGTACCACAGGTCTTCTGACGCAAAAGAAACCGATCCAGAATCCACAACCACGCTATCAACTCACGATCAAAGCGACGGACGAAGCCGTTCAATCGGATCGTAAATCGACAGACGCGTACGTAACCCTGATAGCGGCCGGAAACAGCGACGACGAATTGGTGGCGTTCGAAAACGACGTTTACACGGGCAGTGTTTACGAAAACGAACCGATCGGAACGAGTATCTTAACGGTTTCCGCGCATATGCACGCTGGCGGTGGTGAAATCGAATATTACGTTACGAACATTACCGGAGGAACGGCGGGAATTCAAGTCGACAGACTTTTCGATATCGATATGAAACTGGGGTTAGTTTCAACAGCGGCCGAATTGGATAGGGAGGTCGGCATCGATACCTACGTAATTGAAGTGATCGCGATCGGCAACCAAGGATTACCGAGGACTTCAAGTACTAAGGTAAGTGAGATCGGGGGAATTTGAATTAAACGAAACAAAAAAAAAATTAAATTGGTTTTGACGACGAAATTTATGTGGCGAGATTAATTTTATGATTGGCGTAATCATTTTCGCGATTACCAGTCATTTATTAGTGTCATTGCTTACACGGAGTATTTCTTATGGAAAGATAGAAAAAGGAACTTGAAGAAGAAATGAATTTTAGTTTGAGAGTTTCTCTATGGGAAAGACAAAATTAAAATAAAATTATGGAAACAGTTAGTTTTCGAAGGGAAATGTCGATAATTATCTTTGTGGTATTTTCTTGATATCACTTGTAGTTATGTTTATTTGCATAAACTATTTTTTTGGGAAATTGATTATTGTAATTATTTCTAAAACTGAATACTATTTATTTTAGAATAATTTAAATATTATACGCAAGTTTTTTTTAATTCAACATAAACGAATGTGTAATTACGAAACTTTGTAGAGTATTACCGTGGTTTCATTATTTACACATACATATGTTTCAAAAATAATTCGTATGGAAATTTATTTAATTTTAAAATGTATGAATGACTAATTGATCCATGTAAAATTAATTGGAGTGGCACGCAACTTATAAAACGATAGCCCAATGAATAAAACTTCCATCGACAGATGATGAAATATTGAATTTAAAAAAGCGATCATGATATTGTATCATAAAATTCACGTTTAAAAACATAGATAGCACAATATTTCAGGAAATATCTGAAATAAATATAGCATTTGACTTTTTTACAAGATTTTCATAATTTATAAAATACATATTCCTTTTTAATTTACTATAATAGCCTACACTCAACTTTCTCACATTTTTGTGTGGCAGTTGTAGATTGAGAACATTTGCAAAAGTTCGTCGATAGAACGCAATGCTTTCACTTTACATAGTTCCTTATGCGCAATAGTAAAAAGAAGTCATAATGACACAGGAACTATTCGGGAAAATCGTGTATTTGAAAATTGTCCTATTACATCTATAAAAATTGTGAAGGACAAAAGTCGATGTTAATTTAATAAGTTTGTATTTTCTGTGGGTAAAGGCAAATATTTGGCAAATCATGTTGTCTTGAATATTCTAATAAATGAATGTGTTGTTACGTTTTTTGTCGAGGATCACGCTTCAGATCTACCTCTTTATCTATTCATTCAAAAATGGATTACTAATCTTTTTTCTAGGTTTTCCGATCTTCTTCATCCTGATGGTAATTTGTTCCTCGTTATTCTCACAATAAGTTTCTCTATCATGCGATCGATGTACCCATGTGATCAAATTGGTGTTATCTATATTTGTCTGATATTTATTTACTTCATTTTTCGCTCATCCGTATTTCCCCAGCTATTCTACACACTGTTTTCATTTCTGTAGTATCTTGTATTCATTTTGTCTTGGATGTCTCTGGTCGGGGTTTTGCTGCAAAAGCTAGTAGAGGTGTAATTGAAGTCTTGTAGATCCGGGCTTTGGCTTCACTTCGAATATTTTTATTTCGTCTTGTTGTGTAATTTAGGTAAGCCACAGACCTTAACACTCTTGCAGCTTGATTCCGTACATTCGTCTCAATATGTTCATATCCAGATATTTCAATTCCTAGGTTTTTAAATTTCATTGCCTTGCATCTGATTGGTTGGTGTCTTGGAGATTTTGTTTTCGCCGCTGATGTTATCATGTTAATTTCTGGATATCATCTCCGTTCTCCGACACCAATACCGCATCGTTTGCCTCCCTATTTTCCATTTTGCATCTTCTTAGTTTGCTTACTTGTTTTATAATTTATCCATTACGATGTTAAACAGGGGCGTGCTCAGAGAGTTACTCTGTTGAATGCTATTATTTACAGGTATCTATTCAGTTAGTTTGACATTATTTCTGCTTGAATCTTATTTTCTGAATATATATGTTCGGTGTTAGGTGTGCGATCCTTTAACTGTATTCAGTCGAAGGACTTCTACAAATCGATAAAACATATGAAGGCTGATCGATTCTATTTGAACCCTGATCTGAACCCTCTATATTTTATATTCATTTATTTTGTTTATTACGATTCTTGTTGTTAACTTCGAGGTGGAGTAAATTTATTCCTAGACATTGGAAGAAAATTTTTTAATTAAAGTTGTTAATTATTGATTTAGATTCTCTCGCCGTATTTGAGTAACGTATTGATGATATCTTGACCTGGGCTATTTCTGATCTTTAGTTTTTAGTGTGCTATTTCAATGTCTCTCTTTTCTATCACAGCCTCACTTGGTTATTATTTCTTGTGAATTCGGTTCAATTTCGGTCTCTTTCCTCTTATAAAGCTCCTATAAATATTTTACCCATGTATTTCTTTATATCTGGTGTTAATAAAATGTCATTGCTTTTGATCTTTGACTTTTAATTTATTTCATTAATATGATTTTAATTTTCTTATTCTTTTGATTTAAACTTTTATATCACATTATCAATTTTAACGAAGTGTTTTTGTTGGTTTTAATAATTTATTACAATAAATTTAAAAAGGTCAATATCAGGTTTGACATTATTATTATACATGTCGAAACCAGAATTGACAATATTGCCGCATCTTACCCGCAAGCCTAAAACTTCAGCTTATTTAAGTGAAATTATACATGCCTGATTGAAGTTAAGCCGAGGCCGTTGGTGGCCGAATATGTAGCCTGATATTTACAATTAATATAATTACATCCTGTAATGCCCTGTCCATAAACGCCTCGGCTTATGATTAGTTTAGAACGAAAAGTGAATGATTCTGTTTGATTAACAGAATAATTCTTGTTGAGTAATTCTTTAATTAAAGGCTGGTTGCGGTTGAGGTGTTACAATTGATACCATATCAACATAGAACTCTAATAAGTCTTGCCTCTAAAATCACATTTGCTCCATGCTAGTTAAGCCGAGGTTGTTTACGGCAGAGATGCTACAATATCGTTGGAACTTTGTACCTAAAAAATGTTCTTTTATTTGTCCACAAATGCAAAGATTGAACGTTGATTTTCCAAGTTGTTCCGTGTAAAAGTTTTTAAACAAAAAAAACATTTAAACATGACAAACCACAAATGGAACAAAAACATTTGGATTATTTTCACCATAAATTTTCACAAATCTAAAAGAAAAGCAATTTTTTAAACGTTAAAATTAAAGTTGAAGTATTATGGTGAAAGTGGTTTCGCTGCTTTTACTTTTTTTTATTAATTTACAGATTTTTGTCGGTTTCCTGTTTTCCTTTTAGAGATGAGGTGTTTTGCTAACACTATGACGGAATCGTAGTATATTATTAAGTTAACACAGCTTATGTAATCTTATAAATGGATTATTCATGAAGTTAATGATGTAAAGCAAATGCAAGATGTTCTGCGATATATGTTGTTTTTGAAAACTGCAATATGTGTTATCCTGCTTTCAATGACAATCTTAAATAAGCAAATCTTTCTGCAAATTATTTTGTAGATTTCAAACCCTCATCTACTAACAGAGATTTAAGTACTTCATTGTCACTTCATGATTTTATGATTTATTTAGTGATAAAGTTGTGAGCTGGATGTTGTGGTGCCTTAAACGACTATTGCCAGCATATCATAATCAGGTTGTAATAATGACTGCACCCAATGAACCCTCAGATGTAGAGGTTGTCCCAATTAAAAGTCCAAACTACAACGTTAACGCTACCGTTTCTTAACTGCTATAAAGTCTTTGGATATATTTTTGAATATCACGTTCATTTCCAATTAAACGAAAAAATGTCAAAATCTAATCCAAACTTTAAAAATTCATCCATATCGTATTTACGGGAATTAAGAAATGATTTTTGTATCAAATTAATGTTTGATATTTCCTTCTTAATTTCATATATAACTCGTTTCGTAAGTCCTATAAATGTATCAGTTATAATGTTTTGAATGTTACGTCGTTTCCAATGTACCGCAAAAATGTCAAAAATTAATCTAAACTTTAAATAATCATCCAACTCGTATTTATGAAGTTCAAAAAAAGATTTTTCTATTGAAGTAATTCCTATAAATTCATCAGCTACAATGTTATGAATGATCTGCCGTTTTCCAATTCAACACAATACATTAAAGTTTAATCTAAACTTTAAAATGTTATCCAGATCGTATTTATGGAGATTTATCTATTTAGGGATTAATATACATGTGCCAACTATTGCAGTAGTTTCGTTATCTGTCAGTATTTTCTGGAAAAATTCTAGAAATTATAGCTCCTTTGATATTGCAAAAAAGGTCGGCCACCAAACGGTATTAAATGTTCGTGAAATGTCCTGATATATTTGTTTATGATATCTTCGGGGTACAAACTTTCCGATATGCTTATTAGGACGCAGACCACCAAAATATAGATAAAGCAGTTTTTCAAAGAGTTATTCTTTGAAGTTATTCTTGAGAAGACAGATTGGCTTTTGTATTGGCTTTTAATCTCAGTGTTTGAATATATATGAACACTTTCTTTGTATGAATAAGCATTAAATAGATTTGATAAATGACGAATTAGCACCTATCAGTTCTGATGAAATAGGGTTGGGTTTGCCAATGTTTGTACACTTGCGACTTTAAGTGGACTCAAAGAAAAAATCGCCATGTGATAAATTGGGTTACCTTGAAGGCCAGGCAATGTCTCCTCACAAAGAAAGAAAACGTCTAAGATACAACTCTCTCAAAGTTGTCATAGAACGTCGCTAACTTCTCTCTCTTTATGTGGCAGTACTATTCAAAGTAAAAAGTTAATTAAGCTAAAACTAGAACTAACAGTGCTACTATTTCACCGGCCGTGAAAGCTTTCGTACTTATGTTGTAAAGTTAGTTTGATATCCAAACTTGAATAGTTTTTTCTTCAGAACAGAATCATACAAAATCCGAACCGAATGTAAAATGCTCGCTGAGTGGTAACCACACAACCGCCATTGTGACAGCTAAAAATATATCATCATCCCGTTCCAACAAGGAACAGGAATCCGTTTCAA